TAAAAGCTAGTTAGCCATTCTTTATTACAGGCGTATCAGGCTTTGTCCTGTAGCGAGGCCCGCGGGGTGTTTGGATACACGCTGCCTAATTGATGCTTCCACAATTAAAAAGAGGCAAGAAGAGGGCTGTGGTAGGAATCTGCTTAATTTTCCCCAAAGTTGAGAAACTGAAGGTGAAGCCGTTAAAAGCAGAGAACAGCAAGGCAAATCACTGCTCCTAACAGCAAAAGAAGTGAACATGCAAAGTTCATCTAGAATCATGTAAACAAGTTTTATTTTTCATTAAATCACCTTTTCAGCTCTGAAAACACTTTAAAGCAAGCAACAGTCAGCAATTCCCGAATTGCCATGAAATGCGGCGCACATGGTGCACAGCCTATTCAGAATTCCTGTTTCCCATCACCAGTTACACAGCACAAGCATAGGGGTGAGCGGAAGGAAACTTTATTTTCTGCCCCCCTCTGTTGGAGCTTTTTGCCCTCGACAGCAGAACGCAGCAGCCTTTCTGAAGGCTAACGAGGCCGGTTTGATTTCCAGGTGAGAGAAGAGCAAGGCACAGCCCAAAGCTTACCATTAGTTCCAGGTTATGCATTTTTCAAGTCTTTGTTAAAGTTTCTGGCTGCTTCAGCGTATTGGTGGAGGAAACTGAGACAGATCAAAACCACAGAGGAAATAAATGATATGGAACCTGCCGGCCCCAGGGATTCACATTGGCAGCAAAAGGGCAGAGTTCCCAGGAGAGGGTCAGCTTTGGGGGCAGGACATCAGCAGGGGCTCAGCCCCAGCCTCAAGCCACCTCCACAACGACCTCCAGCCCTGATGGGCTACCCAAGAGCTCGCACAGGCACCCTCCTCCTCCTCCTCATTGACTTCGACAGATGCAATTTTAATTACAGTAGGGACTGTTAATTGTGTGACACTTGATCTGAGGTGCATGTTTGTAAGTTACTTTCCTGGCAACACAAACCGTAAGGATAAAGGCACTGCAAAGACGGCTTTGCTCCAGAGCATTAGTGCACCTCGGCCTCGGACAAGGCATGAGATGGCTCGGCGCTCGCAGGCGGGTGGGTTCCCTTGACTGTTCGTCTCCCTTCCTCAGAAGCGATTTATTTCAGATTTCTACCAGTCGGCCTCCCCCATGCTGTAGTTCAGCCTACAACGTTCCTTTTAAAGGTGTCACCTGGTGAGGGAGCAATGGCTGGTGTCATTCTGTCCCCAGCAAACCACAGCCACGAAAGAGGAAAATGCCGAGCAGCGGTGCTAGACTGCCCTACAGCTCCTTCCACCGCAACTGATCAATACAACTGAGCTGCCCCTCCAGCGTGAGTTTTCACAGCTTTTCAGTTATTTCTGGCAAATACAAGCAAGGTGCCTTAATGTACAGATGGTTGTTTTGCAGCCATGTTTTGACTTCCTCAAAATTTCTGTCCATCCACTGGATATTGTCTTCAATGGTTTCAATAGCTTGCTGGACACACCGAAGCCGTGCGCTTTTTTCCCCCAGAGAACTGAAGATTTCTTTCACCTGTTGACAAAAAAGGGAAAGAACAGTTGACGAAGAGGCAGCGATGTCTCTCAGGTGCACAGGAAGAGCAGGGAGACATTTGTGATACTTGAACCTGGCCCTGGGTCTTCCAGCCCCTTTCCCTCCCTCCCCAAGAGCAGTTTTGGAAAAAACTTTCTTAGCGGCTGGGTCTCACAAGCTGAGGAAGGTTACACATCCAATTATATTATAAGAAGTGCACTTTAAGGAGCCGTCACATCGCGTGTGGGGTCTGTCTGGTTCCTGCTCATTCACCGAACCCTCACAGCCATTTACGCTGTGGCAGCCATGGGCAGGACAGTAGTGTCTCAGTGTGGCTGCCACCGGGGAGACTGAGCACCCCCTGCTCGGGCTGAGGCTGCTGTGCTTCCCAACAGGCCTTTGCCCAAAGTCAGGTTAATGTCCCAGTCTGCGAGCCGAAAAACGGGCTGGGAGAGATGCTGGACCCGGCAGCTGGTTTTACAGTAACTTGGCAGGAGTCATCTCCCTTTGCCTGCAAGCCCCTTGTTCAACCCGTTTGGAGGAGGAGCAGTTCATGGCAAAATATTTTCGGAAGCTTTCCGTACACAGGGAGGTCTGTGCCTCCCTTCAGTTTTCTAAAAAAACCCAAACCCTCTGACTCCCCCAGTGCTTGGGAAGCCACTGGTCTCCTTGAAGCCCTTGAGAATGGAGCCGCTGGAAACCTGGATGCTGCTTCCACACCTTGAGCCCACCGCATCCCCTGTGGCTGCGGCAAGTGTCGGCAGCTGCCTTCCTGGCTTTTTTTCTTTCCCTTTTTTTTTGTTAAAGGAGGCACTCCTAATCACAAGGCTCATTGTGGAAACAGTACAACCTCCAGCTTGAGTTGGTGTTAATGGCAGGCAGATACTTTCAAAAGATGCAGTGACTGTACATGTCATATAAGTTAAATACATTATTTTCTGATCATTTACCTCAATGAGTGCAACACAAGACGCAAACACCTGTGCAAAGTACAAGAGAGATACAAGCAGAGTACAAGGAAGGGAGTTCCTGGATTTCCTCTCTCATCCTTGTACTGACTTGGTGTTCAGAGACTCATACCCAAGTCCCATGGGTCCCCCAGGGAGGTGCAGCCATGTTGCTGGGTCGGACACAGAAACGTCCGTGCCACTGGCCGAGATGCTGCTATGGGCACACTCCAGGAGTCCTCTCAGACGTAAAACGAAGACCGAGAACTAAGCAGAAAGCAGCGTACAGCTCCCCGTGTTCTTTCACTTCATGTTTAATAAAGTGGCATTACTTAGGGCTGTGGTTTGCCCTAAAGCAGAAAATTTTAAACTGGCAACAAAAGCAGCAGCTTCTCAAGAGTAACTAAACCTGTGCATTGACCAGTCTGGGTTTTCCACCATCGACAGAGGTTGTGGAACAAGCAGACAAAATGATTCTCACGTATGACTTCCAGGAGCACGGAGAATTTTCCCCAGAAAGATGTATCGCTGTGGTGTATTTCTCACTGTCCTTCAGCATTTTTCTTCTGCCTGCTCAGAGAGAAGACCTACTTCTTTTTTTTTCCCTCGCTATTGTCCAGAGTGGGTAGAAAATACTAACAGAGGCAGG